GCTAAAAAAGAGCAAATGGCTTCTGTATTCTTGGATATTAAGGGGGCTTTAGATTCAGTATCGGTTGAAGTCGTTTCAGAAAATCTCCACGCTTGTGGCCGTTTCTCCATTAATTAATAACTTTTGGTAAAATTTGCTGTCAGAGAAACATATGAGCTTTTCTCATGGAAACTCTACAGCTTCTCGATTCAGCTATATGGGTCTCCCCCAGGGCTCATGTTTAAGCCCCCTCTTGTATAATTTCTAAGTCAGAGAAATTGACAATTGTCTAAGTGACAACTGCACGTTGCGACAACTTGCAGATGACGGCGTAGTGTCTATGACAGGGCCCAAAGGGGTCGACCTGCAAGGACCCTCCCTCGGAGGATACCTTAGACAATTTGTCTACATGGCCTTTCCAGCTAGGTATCGAATTCTCCACGGAGAAAACTGAGTTGGTCGTTTTTCTAGGAAGCTTAGCCCTGCACAACCGAAGCTTCAACTTTTGGGTAAACCGATCACTCATTCTATGTCCGGGGTCGCAGTAGGCCGCGCTTGAAAGCTGTCATGTTTTTCTTTTGCTGTGTATTTTTCGTCAGCGAATTAAGCTTTTTTGCCTTGAATTTGTTAATTTGTGTGCTGAAATTTAGTTTCAAGTGTTCATAAAGATATCATTTAGTGATCCATCGTGTTTTTTCCTGTGTTGAGGCGTCCAGTTTTGAAACCAAATTAGATTAAAAGAAGAGAAGAATACAGCAAGTGAAAAATAGAAACATGCAGTGACAAAAGAAAGAAGCAAGAAAAAAAGGTCCGCCTTGAGTGCTTCGGTTGACCTTGAATTTAACCTGCAAAATCTACGTCGCAGCTTTAGTTCAATTGTTTGGTGTCGGTTTAAATTCCTCCCGGGAGCCCGGTTCTCCGAGTTCGGATGCCACACTTTTGGCGCGTAGTTCTATTGAGAGATTCGTCACCGTGGACGAGTTTTAATCCGGTCCGATTGGTGAATTAGCTCGGGAAAGTGCTTATAATGTGTCCGTCGCGAGTTTTGGTGGTGATTCGGTGGCAGACGTTGCCGTGAATCAGCAAGTTTTACGCATGCAAAAGTGTTCGGCTGTTGGTCTCTTGACGGTGTCGGAGATTGCGACTAATCTGAAAAATGCCTCGCTCAAGACTTGATGGGGTGTAACTGATGGCCGCGAACGGTTCCTAGGAAAAGCACTAGACGCGAACATCCTCCCAGGCATGGCAGTGCAAGAAAATTTGTGTTCGGAACTACGTAACCCATGGATTGGGGGATCAAATTAACATGGTGAGACCTGTCCAAATACTTTTTACAATAAAAAACATAAACTAAATACGTGCCAGGAACATTTTGAAGCTGGAAGTGTGTATGTGTAATACTAATATCCAATTGATAGAGGTAATACATACATGCGGGGCTTATTGTAAGTGAAAGTAACCTCGGAATGGGCGTGACTCTCCAGACATTCTGAAATGGGTTGCTGGATCTGCAATAGAGCTATCACCGTCTAACTCCAGGACTAAAGCTGTCTACAATGACCAAAATTGCGACATTGTAGAGATAGTTCTTCCATAATACCACTGCCGGACAGTGAGGGTTAGAGGGAATACACACACGCACACACAACCAAATATCTTGGGGTCTGGTTCTATTCTAAATGCACCTGGAGATCCCACATTGAGTATCTGAGACGAAAATGCCAACAAAGGATCAATTTTCTCCGAACAAGATCTTCTAACGTTGTACCGGACAACGGTTTTATCGGTTTTAGAGTACGGTAGTTGTTGCTTCCAGTCGGCGGGAAAAACACATATCATCAAACTGGAATGTATCCAGTATCGTTGTCTTCGTATTGCGTTAGGATGCATGCACTCGAGTCATACGATGAGTCTAGAAGTGTTGGCGGGCATGTTGCCACTCTCGGATCGGTTTTCGGAATTGTCTCTCAGGTTCCTCACCCGGTGTGAAGTTATGAACCCACTGGTAATCGAAAAATTTGAAAAGCTTCTTGAGCTCAACCCTCAAACTCGTTTCGTGACTATGTACTGCGTGTACATAAAACAGGATGTCAGCCCTTCACAGCATAATCTTCATCGTGTATGCTTCTCCGACTTCGGCAATTCAGTTAGTTTTGATTTATCTATGACGCAAGAGATTCGCGGAATCCCAGAAAATCATCGTTCCATGATTGTTCCGTCATTATACACTGCAAAGTTTGGCCAAGTTGATTCCGCAAGATCGTTCTTCACAGATGGATCACTAATAGAGGCGTCCGCTGGATTTGGAATTTTTAACGAATTTCATAGCACCTCTCGAATGCTTCAAGCTCCTTGTTCCGTATATGTTGAGCTGGCGGCAATACATTATACGCTAGTAACCATCGCCTCACTTTCACCAGATCACTACTTTATTTTTACGGATAGTCTCAGTTCTGTCGAGGCTATTCGCTCCATGAGACCGGTAAATCACTCCTCGTATTTTCTCAATCTCTGTGAATGTGGACAAGGTTACCAAGACGCCGATCACATTATTTGGTCTTGTGCTGAGCATCGTGGAGTCAGATCTGAGTTGTACGATTCCCTTCGGGCTCCAGGTAGACAACCTAATGTTCCAGTTCGGGATGTTTTGGCAGAGCGTGATCTGGAGTTTATGAAACTTATATATGTTTACTTTAAGACTATTAACCTTAGATTGTAAATTTGATTAACCTTGTGTTATGTTTTTATTTTGTACCTGTGGTTTTTTAAATATTTGTTTTCAAGATGAATAGAAAAAAGTTCGCGTTTAAGGATTAATTGAATATTGTATCGTAAATCACATTTCAAACCTCCTACTCCCTTTTCTCATCCAAAATATTGTAAATCTCCACTATCCTCGAGACAAGCACGAGTATTCGGTCCAGTTCCTTTAACTTTAAATATAATGTACACTGGAGTTGCTTTTTGCGCGGGTGATTCGTCCCGCGTAAAACAAACCGCGTAAATTCCGAAATCTGCGTAAAATAAACCACGTAAAAAAACCGTGTAAAAAACCGCGTAAAAAGCGACTCCAGTGTATAACAAAAATGGCTCTGTAAAGTTTACTCGATTGAGCCTGTACAAATAAAGTAATTATAAAAAAAAAACTTTGTCTCAGACGTTACTTCGTTGGGATGTGTCGTTTTTTTGAGTTTAGATTTGTTGAAAATTATGGCCAATACGCCATTCTGAAGATTTTTTAAGTCTGAAATGTGAATGATTGACCATAACAAACAATTATGCAAAATTTCACGCACATCGAAGAAGGTCGCATCAGATCGATTCGTCATTTAGCGTGAAAGTGCGGAATATGCAAAACTATTCAACAAACATTTGAAGCAGAATAACAGCTTATTCAGGCAAAAATATGCTTCGTCAGCTAAAAATGGATTGTTCAGCCTTTAATCAGCTCAAAGCGATTGTAGGATACTTCTTCTTCTTATTCGCATTTCAAGCTTATTGCTTAGCGCATATTAGCTTATTGCGTGCTCTCAACTTAGTGTTCTAAATGCACTTCCTCAGGTATTAATTGGGAGCTTTCGATGCCAATTGCCAATGCATGAATTTGTATATTGTGTGGAAAGCACAATGATGATACTCTATGCCCAGGGAAGTCGAGAAAATTTCCAACCCGAAAGATTCCCTCGACCCTACCGGGAATCGAACCCGCCGCCTCCGGCTTGGTAATACCGTGCCTTTACTGACTAGGCTATTAGGCCCGATTGTAGGATAACTACCATCATAAACTTTCATTCTCTCCTTCATCTTCTAATCTTCTTCCTTTCATGTCAATTTCCATTCTCGGAGATCCCAAAAAATCAAGAATTGCAAACCAATTCAAATTGATCAATTTTGTATGTTTCATATAGCAGGTCTCATTGCACAGATATAAATTGAGCTAGCGAATGGCGGAACGACTTTCTGAACGGTTCACCCTAGAGATAGGTTTCCAAACCGAAGGATAAAAATCAATACATTCTGCTAAGCTGTAGAGCTATTAAATCGAAATCTCTGCCAAAGCATATGCAGTACAATGTACAAATGTAGAAAGCAACATAAAAGCTCACAACCCGCTCGATCCAGCCCCGGTAATGAAAGTACATTTTACCGGCTTGCAACTCCTGGTGTAACGTCTTACAAAATCGTTTCAAACGAAAGGGAAATCCATCCCGCTGATCGATATACGACTTTTCTTTGACGCTATCGGGGCACACGCTCCCATGCTGCAACTCGTACGAACAGGCGCAGTAATTTGGGACCGGTTTTTCACTTTCCTTTTCCATAACACCCGACGGCGAAGTAGAAGATCCGTTAGCGTTTACCTTCTGCGGGGGCCTCCGCTCCCGTGGAGGAAAAGCTGGTTTTCTTGTTCCGAGGAACTTCTGCATGCACTCTCTTTCTCTTTTCATCTATTACACTGGCTGATGGCTGGCTCTGGTAACTCTTTGATGGCTAAATTACCGTCGGAGTCGGAGTGTTCATGCGCCGCTGCATAATAGCCGTTGATCGCTTAAAGTGCAGCGCAAGGCTACAATAACAGCACACGAAGATCAAGGTGAACACGCTGAGTTCCAACGCTTTTGACGAACTGATGGCGGCGCTGAACTCTAGCGCACCACGTGAAGACACCTCAAACATCGAAGAGAGTGTGAAAGACACTCACTTGGGGCTTGGGCCAGGCATGCCGGTGCTTTTCAAGTTGCCCTGGTGGAAATTGCAATCTTGATCTTGGCGGTTTATGCATGTTTAGGCGATTGGAGCGCGCGCGCGCGCTCTTGGGTGGATTCGCTATATAAGCATGAAATGAAGATGAACACCGCTTGAATAGTGTTGAGACCTTCGGATCGCGTGGAACTTAGGACCGTTTGGGTGAAAAGTGTCTTGTGCTTTCCTTTTCGATACGGATAACAAAAGTGACATTGGACTGTTAGCTCCTGGTGTGTACTTGTGAGAGAAGAACTCTGGTGAAAGTGATCAGCTTCAAGCAGCGTGTTGCAAAATTTGAATTCATACCGAACTGTGAGAAAATGTTGCTCAAGGTGAGTCCAATTAAACAGATCAAACTCAAATCAAAGGATTCAATGAACCTGCGTACCAGTAAATAGTCATGAGTTTCACCTTCCGATGTGAAAATGTGTGATTAAGCTGCAGTTTTTTTTATTGCAACGCTGAATCAAGATGAAGAAACTTGCGCGACGGTGTGGTGCAGTTATGGTGATAAATTTAGCACTTGGTTGTCTGTGTCTAAATGTACGATTCCATTTGGCTTGTACTGAGCGGTGACTTGCTACGCATCTGAGACCAACCCTGCTCTGCACAGCGTGTGAGCACTTGTTCTAACTCGTTAGTGTAGTTTTTTTTTTGTCAGTTGAGTACCTACGATGCAGAAAGGAAAAGGCAAACGCCTCGAAGCGGATTAAAATTACATGACAAGATCAAATGACTTAATGATGGCGAAAATCTAAGTTCTGGCGAACCTAGAGAACTAGTTACACTGACACATTGTTGCAGTCACTGGTGAAAAGTTGAAACTGCACTCGCTGGCAACGGACAGTTAATGGGAATCTGATTAGATGTGAACCGATTAACCTACAATGCAATTTATATCTTTTTATGAGTGGCGGCAAAATGACAGAAATAAAATCAGATCATTCACATATTAATTACCGCAGAGAAAAACGATCAGCAGCAATCCTATTAAAAATTTATATATTGTAAAAGAGCGTTATATTTCAAAATTTTTGATTTTTTAAAGTCGTTATTTGTTTCGAATTGAAATCAATTTTACGTTCATGTTTTAAGCTTAGTGCTTCAGCTTATATAGTAATTTACCAACCTTATTTATTATGATATTTATCTGAGTGTATATACATTGTTTCTGCCTTATGAATTCAGTATTTTAAATAGGTTTTCTATACCTACGTGTTCCTCAATTTCTGCTGTTTTGCGGATACAGAAGGTGATTTTTTATCAGTTATTGGATGATTTTAACAAAACATCAACATTAGACAGCAAATGACACATTTGACCAGGATGAATCCACTTTTTCGCCTGATTTTTAGCAGTGATTGTACTGTAACTGTAAAATTAAGAGTAACCCTCAAGTGTGATTGCAGACCTGGAAATTGTGACAAATTTCCTCTTAGAATTAACCAAGAACTTGTGATTTGAGTAAATCCAAATGATTTGGTGAGCGACTATGTTGCAGCGTTTTGCACTTCTCAAATACACTACTCAATAGATACTCACCAAAACATTTTAAGCTACTCAAATCAGAAACTCTTGATCAACCATTAAAGTAAATTTAATTTACTTTCGAAATCTGCAATAATATTAAGGAATGGTTTTTATTTTTTTCGGTTAAAGTACAAAAACTCTCAAAATACTGGCAAAAATGGTTGTAACGTCATGTAGACTTTGTCATGCAAGCTTTGTAGACCAAAAATTAATTTTGGATACAGAAACCCTAAATTCAGTTGGAAAGATCTGAACCTTCTTATTCAGTTTATTTTAAAGGTTGAAATTAACTCAGCCTTCAGAAAGAGCGTTCTTCAAAGAAAAATTACGCTATCCCATTTTTAACGGTATTTCTAAAAAATCGAGGATTTGTCTAACTGCACAGCCAGTTAGGTGACACACCTAGCTAAAGGGTGTATGCGATAAAAAGGGGCACATATATTTACTCACCAAAATTAAACCGATTTTCGGATTTCTTGAAATTTTCAGGGCATGAAAAACTACTAATGAGTTATGATTTACAAAATTTGTTTTATTCGTCTCCAATCCCGAATGCTCGCATCTTCCTTTTCATTCCACCCATCAAATTTGGTAAAAACCAATTTTCCCAGTGTTTTTGTTGTTTTTACCCAAATTTTCTTCAACTCCAGCTCTGTTTAAATAGTTTTTGGATGTTTGCGAAGTTCGGTCTTCATAATTGCCCAGAATTTTTCAATTGGACTAAGTTCCGGTGAATTGGGTGGGTTCATATCTTTAGGCACAAAATTTACTGCGTTGGCTCGGTACCACTCCAACACGTTTCGAGCATAGTAGCAGGATCCTAGTTCAGGCCAAAATAGAGTTGATCCTTTGTACTTCCTTATGAATGGAAAGAGACGCTTCTTAAGGCTCTCTTCCATGTAAATCGCACCGTTCATTATTCCCGAAGTGATGATGGGAGCTGTTATTTCACCACATCCGCAAATCACCTGCCAGATCAGGAACTTCTTTGCGAATTTTAATAACTTTGAAACATCCTCCGGAACATCAAACTTAGACTTGGCAACGAAATATTCTTGCCCAGGAAGTTGACGGAAGTCGGCCTTGACGTAAGTGTCGTCATCCATCACGATGCAACATGATTTGGTGAGCAACTTTGTGTAAAGTTTCCGGACGTGAGTTTTCGCAGTGATATTTTGCTTTTCGTTCCGGCTTGTGGCTTTTTTGTAAATATGTAACTCAACACGCTTCATGGTTTTCTGCACAAAACCGACTGACACCTTGAACTTTTTAGCGACATCTCAAATTGACATGTTTGGACGGTTCTTGAACTGTTTCACCTGATTGCGGTATCCAAACGTCCAGTTTGCACTTCTCTAAAGCAGCTGTGGGTCAAAATAACGACGCCTCGTAGATCAATAAGTATTGGCGCTATGACCGGAAATCTGATTCGAGCAGCATTGCAAACTACATCAGTTCGATTGGTACCGTGTTCTCTCGACTAGAACAAAACGACCTAGCTCTGGTATTTGGTGACTACAATCAGTCTGGGCTCTCATCCCAAGTAACAATTTTGGTTTTTTGAGGGTTCTGTAGACCATGATTTAGACTTGTAGAATGCTATAAAACCTTGATAAAACCTGTAATGTTACTTGGGATGGAACGTTCCTGCAAACGATCTTCCTAGCATTGATGTTCTTCGCTCGAACATGCCCGCATCCTGCTGTGCTCTCCTTGATGGTTTCAACGTGCATGGCTTAACGCAAATCAACTCGATACTGAATAGCAACTCTCGGCTGCTTGATCTCGTTCTGACGAACGAAGCTGCAGGACTGTAATGTTCTATCCTAGAAGCCTAAGAGCCTTTGATTGGCATGGACACCAATCATCCTGCGTTGGAAGTTTCCATCAACCTATCTGTTCCTGTTCGCTACGATAACCCCCCTGTTGATTTACATGAGCTCGACTTTCGTAGAGCAGATTTCGTCGCGCTGAGTCACTCGCTTGCCCAGGAAGATTGGCAGTTCCTCGACACGTGTTCATCTATTGATGAAGCCGTCAACTACTTCGCTGAGGTCGTTGGCCGGGCAATAACTGATTCTGTCCCACTGAGGAGACCCTCTCCCAAACCCACATGGTCCAATGCTCAACTACGGAATTTGAAGCGTCTGAGATCGAAGGCCCTCCGTAAAGACTGTCGTACTCGTAACCCATTCACCAAACGATTATTTTCAACAGCGAGCAACGAATATCGCATTCTTTACAAGAGCTACACAAGGCGTGTGCAGGCTAATTTACGGCTTAACCCAAAGCAGTTCTGGTCATTCGTGAATACCAAGCGAAACGAGGAGGGGCTACCAGTCGAAATTCACCTGGTGATAGAATCGCCAGCATTTCCCTTGAGAAATGTAATCTTCTGGCAGAACGTTTCAAAAGCATTTTCAATGACACTACGGCTTCGTTGTCCCAAGTTGCTGAAGCGGTGAGGGACACTCCCAGTGATGCTTTCAATTTTTCGATTACCTCGATTACAGTAGACCTCGTCGAATCCGCCATCAAGAAGCTGAAATTTTCTAATGCTGCTGGCCCTGACGGGATCCCCTCGAGCATCCTGAAGCGATGCTGTTCAGAGCTTACAACACCGCTTTCGAAGCTGTTCGATATTTCATTACAGCAGGGGGAGTTCCCTACGCGTTGGAATTCGTCATTCATGTTCCCGATCTACAAGAAAGGAGACAAGAGAAACGTCGAAAATTACCGAGGGATCACATCACTCAGTGCCTGCTCTAAAGTTTTCGAATCATCATCAACGACGCATTATTCTCTAGCTGCAGAAATTACATTTCTCCTGACCAACACGGTTTTTATCCCAAGAGATCAGTTTCAACAAATCTAGCTCCGTTCATTTCTTTATGTCTTCGGAGTATGGAAGCTGGAGTGCAGGTGGACGTTGTATATACAGATCTTAAGGCTGCATTCGACCGGGTTGACCACTCCATACTGCTAGCAAAACTTGAAAAACTCGGTGAATGAGGCCGGACTGATCCTCCCAACTGGTTGCCGATCGTTCTACGCGGATGATGTGAAGATCCAGCACCTAATCAATACTTTCAAAGAGTGATGCCCAAGAAACTATCTCACGTTGAATGTACAAAAATGTAATATTATCTCATTTCATCGCAAGCTGAAACCAGTGGCATTCAACTATATGATAAATCACCAACTTCTGCAACGTGTGGACAATGTTCGTGACCTAGGAATCATGCTGGAGTGCGCCTTAACATTCAAGCTTCATTACTCGGGCATCGTTGCGAAAGCTAAGAGGCAACTCGGGTTCATTTTCAAGATCGCTGACGAGTTTCGCGATCCTGCCTGTCTAAAAGCTCTATACTTTTCTCTAGTGCGATCGATCTTGGAAATCAGCTCGGTAGTGTGGTGCCCGTATCAAGCAGTTTGGATAGCGAGGATTGAATCTGTTCAAAGGAAAATTGTTCGGTATGCCTTTCGTCACCTTCCTTGGAATGACCCTGTGAACCTTCCGCCGTACGAAGATCGTTGTCAACTCCTGGGTCTTGAAACACTAGAACATAGGCGGACGATTAGTCAGGCCGTGTTCGCAGCGAAAGTACTTATTGGTGATATCGACTCTCCAGGAATCTTGGCTGAATCCGAATTCTACGCACCCGAACGAGTTCTTCGGTCGAGGAGTTTCCTGCATCTTGGACCTCGTGCTGCGAACTACAGCTTGCATGACCCAATACGGTTCATGTCTGGGCGTTTCAACGAGTTTTACGAATTCTTCGATTTTAACTGTGCAGCGGAA